AGATACTGTATGCATAAAAAAAAAGAAAGAAACTGAAATCAGAAAAAAAGATAAATAGGAAACAGAATATTCTATAGAAAACTGGTTCTATTATTTGTAACTGTAGCAGCTAACAAATAGAGTTAAGTATTTTTTTTTAAATGTGCTACAATGTACTTTTAATCATCTTTAGTCTTGAATCTATAGTTGAATCAGAAAAATGGGATGTACTCAATCTGTTATATATTCTATCATTTATTCTGTGCACCGTCTCCTTCTGACAGAGGCAATATTCCCTCAAACTTAGAAAGCCAGTATTTCCATGTTGGATGCAACAGATGTTGCCATCTGCAATTAAAGTAGAATATCTTTTGCACATAATATTGTTGCTATCCATTTTTGCTGATGGATACTTACCTTTGATATATTGCTGAAATCACACAACACAAAAAGTGTGGGCGATCTTGGCATTACAACAATAGATGCATATCCTGTTCCATTAAATAATATTTTTATTATGTTTTTATGTATAGACAGGACCAAAATATATTGCTAATATCACATGTAATATTTATTTTTTTTACAGATGCAACAACTATCACTGTTTTTAATTCACATTTTTACTTTAGGTGGCAGTCAATGTAAAGAGTGAAAAACTCGTATTCTATGGATTTTTAACCTCCTTTGCAGACATACGGACAGGGCCCTTGTGATTCTGCAACCCAAGAATTTGCCACGCAATTTGCTGCAGAACTGTGCTCCAAAATCTATGGCCGTATCCATACTATGGGGATTATAGCAACATAACAACAGTGCTGTAGCTATGCTGGCATAACCCCATAGCGTAGACGCAACCTACAGCAATAGAAGGGATTTTTCTGTCACTGTAGGAACATCACCTATCAAGCGATGGTAGCTAGGTGGATGGAAGGATTTTGGAGCTGCATCTACACCAGGGGTTAGACCAGCATAACTACAGCACTCAGTGGTGTAGATTTTTCATACCCCTGAGCACCATACTTATGTCAAACTAAATTTTAAATGTAGATGAAGCCTAACCTTTCATTTAAACAAAAAATGGTGGTCCTGTCGCACCACTGCATTACTTCAGTTTTAACATTGGTTTAACTCCACAGATTTCAGTGAAGTAAAGCTGGAGTAACACAGGGGTGAACAGGTCATATGTTTTTAGCCTTCTGGATTGCAAAGAAAGCCTTGAAAATGTGTCTGCACTACATAGCTTATGCTGGCATAGCTAGTGCTAATAGTGCCTCTAGGGTAGACGGAGCCTATATCAACAAAAGGCATTTTTGTGTTGGTGTAGGAACACAACCTTTCCGAACAACATGCTACATCAATAGAAGCACTCTTGTGTCAACACAGCTGTCTACTCTGGGGTTTTTGCCATGTTGGTCAGGGTTACGTTTTTTTCACACGCCTAATCCATGTAGCGATGCTGATATAACTTGTAAACCTGATCTACACTAAAACGTTAGGTCAACTCTGCTACATCACTCAGGGTGTGAAAAATCCACACCCCTGAGCAATGTGGTTACATTGACCTCACCCCTGATGTAGATAGCTCTAGGTCAACAGAAGAATTCTTCCAAAGACCTAGCTAACTGCCTCTCAGGGAGGTGGATTATCTGTGCCAACAGAGGAGAACCCCTCTTGTCGACATAGGTAATATCTAAGGTACTGATGTGCTACAGTGGTGCAGCTGCAGCTGTGTCTCTGTAGCATTTCAAATATAGACAAGCCCTAAGTGTAGACCACATCTGAGGGTACACTTTTGCTATCATGTTTTTCTGAATATGCCAACAGCCTGAAACAATAGTTCTAAAAGGTGTGAACTGCCCCACTCATATCAATAGGTTGTGAATAATGTTGACGTTTACAATGTTACCTCGTCTCATACCTGTCCCATACCTGGCTGCCAAAACCCGCCATTTCACCCTGACATCTTCTGTGATGCAGTTGGGCAATATCAATACAAAAATCTGCAAAAAATTCAGCAAAAAATTATATTTTTTAGTTTATCGGAAACTGCCACAGAATCCAGAGACCTTGCCACAGAATTAAATTCCACCTTGCCATAGAGCACTGAGACCTGGCATGTGGGACCTGATTCTCCACTGCCTTGTAATATGTGTAGTCATTTACAGCTGTGCAAAGTGGGTGTAAAATTCTACTTACTATTCTGATTTAGCACTGGTGTAATGACTACACACATGCAAGACAATGGAAAAAAAGGCCCATCCTATATGTCCATACAGCCTTTCTGGAAACTCATCCAGGTTTTCACTTCAGTGGGGCTGGATATGTGGAACAGAGAGTAGAATTCAACCCATTGTATTTAAGTTCTCTTTCTGTTTCAGTAGTGCTAAAACTGGGAGATAGACTCACTCTGCTACAGCATCTGGTTACTAAACATGAACTACAATATATTTTTGAAGGAAAGAGAACTGAAAATGATGACTGAAAAGACACAGGGCAGTTATGCACCAATGGACATCTAAATTTATTGTACTTCCTCCTGTGACATTTTGATAAATGATATTTACACTCTCTCAACATAAATAAGTAAATAATAATAAGTTAAATATTGTATCTCGGAGCTGAGAGAATGTCATCAAATTATCATTTTTGAAACAGCCAGATATGGATATGACTCTCTGAGATAAAGGCTGCTCTCAGTTACACCCATGTAACACTACTGAAGACTTTAGAGATGTATGTGTGAGACCCTTGTCCCATATACATAGATTAATCCATATGGAGTAGTAAGTTGTTTTTCTGCGTGCTGGCAAATGTAATTAAGGGAATTAATGGTTGGTTTCTATGTTTTATTTACATTTTTTTCAAATGCTTTATAGTCTGAAAATGTCTTAGCTACTATTTAATTATAGACCTGGCTAATGCCTTAAAGTTGAGCTTTATTACCACAGATACTGTAGATCTAATTTATCCTAGTTAATTTAATTGCTGTTAGTGCAGCTAATAACATGTGGCTAGATTCACAAAAGGACTTAGACACCTAAGTGCCACTTTAGGCTCCTAACACCCAGAATCAGGCCCCACAGACATTCACAAAGCCCCTGCTCAGCTGCCCCTATAGGGGCCTAAACTCACTCAACAACTACATTTTTCTGGTAAAAGTTCCGTAGGTGCCTGTGTTTCTGCCTCTGCATGTGAGCATTACAACCTATTGCGATGAGTGGGGCAGTTCTAACCCCATATCAGGCTTATGGATGCCTAAGCTCCAGAGCAGTGCACAAACTGGGGCAAGAAAGACTTTCTTCTGCCTAACTAGCCTGAAGTGTCACCTGACTGGCCCCCTACAGGTGAGCTTACTCAAAACAGCAGGGGCACAGGAGGAGGACCTCCCTCATAAACTTTAGCCCAGTGATTAGGATACCCACCTGGGAAGTTGGAGACCCCCAGTTCAAGTTCCCTGTCCACCTGAAGGGGAAAAAGGATTTGAACTGTATCTGCTGCCCCTAAGGTGAGTGCCCTAATCACTTGGGCTATGAGATATTCTGATGTGGGGCTGCCTCAGTCTATCTCCTGTTAAAGCTGTTCCACTGTGAATAAATAATGAAAGAATAATTGAGAGAGAGTATGACTATATAGCCTGATGGTTTGAGCACTCAGCTGAGTGGCCCAGGATCCAGTTCTCCTGCTCCATTTATTTTATGTATTATCCACAGTGGAACAGCTTTAACAGGAGAGACCTAGGGTATGTCTATATTACAAGTGCTATAGCAGCGCAGTTGCCACGCTGCAGCTATGCCGCTGTAGTTTAGACACTTGCTACAGCAGCAGAAGAGGTTTTTCTGTCTCTGTAGTAAATGCACCCCCTCGAGAGGTGATAGTTATGTTGATGGAAGAATTCTTCCATTGACCTAGGGGTGTCTACACTGAGGTGTAAGTCGGCTTAACTACATATCTCAGGAGTGTGAAAATGCCACGTCTTTCTAATTTCTCTGGGGGTGGTTGACCTCCCCCCCGCCCCAGGCCCTGCTCCCACTCCACTCCTTCCCCCAAGGCCTCATCCCACCGCTTCCTGCTTCTTCCCACCCCATTCCGCCCCCTCCCCCAAGTGTGTCCCACCTTCACTCCAGCCCCCTCCCCCAGGGCCTCCTGCAGGCTCCTGAACAACTGATCTGTGGCGGGCGGGAGGCAATGAGAGGAAGTGGGAGGAGCTGTTCGGGGAGGCCGCTGCAACCACAATTTTTTTCCTGTGGGTACTCCAGCCCCAGAGCACCCATGGAGTCAGCGCCTATGGTGAAATAGCTAGGTTGACCTACGTTTTAGGTGTAAGCCAGGCCTTATGGAGCCCCATGTTAAAATATTCCATAACCAAGTAGTTAGAGGACTCACCTGAAAGGTAGTAGATCCCAGTTCAAATCCCTTTTCTCCATCATGTGGAGGAGGGACTTGAACTGTGGGGGTTTCCTACATCCCACGTGAGTGCCCTAACCACTGGGCTGAAAGTTATGTGGAGTTCCTCCTCTCCCTCCCCCTCCCCCCCACAAAGAGAGAAATTTCCAAGCAGAGGGCAATGTCTTCCTGAAGCTCACACTTATCTACCTGTATCCAAGAGAGGGATGAGTCTTTGGATACACTCCTTAGCTTGGCACCTCCCATTGGCTAGCTTAGGTGAGGACCTGCCTATTATGCTGGCTTTTGTAAATCCCATTGAAAGGCACCTGTCTCTCCCCACTCATTGTATACAGAGTCAAGGTGCCGAACTCAGGCTTTGTGAATCCCGGTAATTTTTCTAGGTACTAAAAGTTAGGCGTGGCAACACTCAGGGTCACCACTCCTAAATTCCTTTGTGAATCTAGCCCATTCTATGTATATTCCTCCAAGTAGAAAAAACCTTTGGGGTATTAGAATTCAAAATCCACTTGCAGGGATGAAGATTGGAGGAGAAGGAGATGGGATCAAAATTCTCTTGTCAGGTTGTTTTCTCTGTACCATACTGTATACATAAACAATTGATAATTTTCTTCTAGGAGTATCAACCTTGTAACACCAATCCCTGTCCAGAGCTGAAAAAGACCACCCCCTGGACTCCCTGGACTCCGGTCAATATCTCAGACAATGGTGGTCACTATGAACAACGATTCCGATACACTTGCAAGGCACGCTTGCCTGACCCAAATTTGCTAGAGGTTGGAAGACAAAGGATTGAAATGCGTTACTGTTCCAGTGATGGTACCAGCGGATGCTCAACAGATGGTAAGCAGAGATAGTGCAAGTGAATAATAGCACCTAGCAGACAATGGTATAACACAATCAAGTGGCTGGAAGTTGAAGCTAAACAAATTCAGAGTGGAATTAAGGTGTGTGTTTTTAACAGTGAGATTAATCAGGAATTGGAACAGTGTTGTGGTGAATTCTCCATCATTGGTAATTTTTCAATCAAGCTTACATAGGGTTTTTTATAGATATGCTTTAGTTCAAATAGGAATTAATTCAGAGTAATCCTATGGCTCGTGTTTTATAGGTGATCACACAAGATGATCACACTGGTCACTTCTGGTCTTGGAATCTATGAACGTGCTAGAGAGATGGCTGTAGTTCCATTTTCATGACAAAGTGAAGCTTTTTATCTTGCTGGTGTTTTTCATAATGTTACAGAGTTTACTGCCAGAAGGGACCACTGGATCATCTAGTCTGACCTCCTGTATATCAGAGGTCACCATCTCTGCACTACCCAGTATCTATACCCTAAACCCAACAACTGAAATTAGACCAAAGTATTACAGCCCACTGGAGACTAGACTATTATATGCCACAGGCAGAGAATAGGAGAGACCAATGTGCCCTGGTGCCTGTAGCCCCACAAAGGCAGGGATATGATTAAGTAAGATATACCCAGATATTCATGGCAAGTGACCCACACCCACGTGCTGCTGAAGAAGTTCAATGCACCCTCCTCCCCTTCCCCCTCTCCCTCCCCCAACGTCACTGCAGATCTTACCTGGGGGGAAATTCCTTGCTAACCCCGCATAGGACAATAAGATAGACCCTGATCACTTGGGCAAAAATCAGACAGCCAAACACTTGTGAGAGAGAATACTCAGTGTCACCTCAGAGTTCCAGCCCACGCCGCTCAATGTCCCATCTCCAGCTGTGACCATACTCATGCTTCAGAGGAAGGAGCTTTAAAAAAAAAAAAAAGCTCAAAATACATTTTGTGGGTCATCCCTTCCTGGCTCCTGCAAGTAGTCGGACAAAGCCCTGAAGCATGAGGTTTTAGGAACATAGGACATAAACCAGAAGTGGGCTCCATGGCTGTTGGCCCTTCCACCTACCATCACAAACAACACCATCATACAATCTCACTCATAAATTTGTCCAGCTCATTTCAGAAATGTTAATGAAAAGAAGGCAATTGATCACAACAGGTAAATTAGTTTCTATTTCTTCAGGACTGGGCTTAATATCTCAGGATAACCCAGTATTTTTTACCTCTAGCTGTAGGACTTGCTGTCAGATGTTCTTTCTAATAATTAACTCATCAGAGAGATAGCCATGAAATTGTAGAATAATTTTTGAGATTGCTTTGTCATCTCTTTCCTTTTGCTGTCCTTTTTTGGGAGAGATTCTGACAAATTCTGCTTTTATTTTATAAATATTTGGTTAGACTATAACAGTGATGATGAATAGGGCTTTTTACTGAATAATTAAAGAGCAATAGCTGGCTGCATGCTTATGGCTATTAACTAAATAGATAATTTATGAAGTGGATAACTTCTATTATTAATGTTTTATAGTATTGAGCTATCACCAGGATTTAAAGTTCTGTTTCCTTCTACAAAGGAAAAATGACCTCTTCCAATGTTATTTCAGCTATAGATTCATTTTACATACAGAATTAATTCATACTAAATTATTTTTCTGCTTACCAGTAGCACTTAGTTATGAATAAACAATATACAAAAATATATTTATTGTTCACTGATGTTCAGGTGAAGTCAATCCTAATTTTAAATGATTAGTTATGAGATTCTTAATTTCATTATTATTTATTAGTACTTATAAGAATACTTTCCACGTACATAGCCTTTTACATCTTCAAAATGTTATAACAATTTGATTATTACAACACCCTTGTAAGATAAATACGCACTAATAACTACAGTAGGTAAAAAAGTATTATCTGCATTGAATAGTTTATTGCAGTGTTGTTATAACTGTTGGTCACAGGATATGAGACAGACAGTGTAGGTGAGGTAATATCTTTTTTTAAATCAACTTCTGTTGGTGGAAGGTTCGAGGTCCTCAGAGCTCATTACGACAATTTGTAACACATCTTACTGTCCTCTAACCCTTAATTGCCCACTTCATTTTAAATGATCTTCTACAGCATGCATAAACCCCTTATGCTTAACAATCTGTCCCACCTTTTATTTAGATTAGACACTCTGTGTATCTTCTCCAGACCCGATGAAGAGCTCTCTGAAGCTCAAAAGCTTGTCCCTTCCACCAACAGAAGCTGGTCCAATAAAAGATATTATCTCACCTACCTTGTCTCTTTTGAACTGTTTAGGCATCGTGAAGTTTGATGACTCATGCAAGGTCACAAAAGAGTAAGTGTCTGTGCTGAGATAAGCACTTGGGTCTGGAGTTCCTAGTTCCCAATCCTTTGCTCAGACAGCTAAACCAATGGTAGATCTTTGAAACCTGTGGGGAAGCCTAACTAAGAACACCTGGCTTCCTTGATAACTGAGATCATCTTTGCCTCCTTGAAAGAAGGCAAGATGTCAGATTACCTAACAAAAACCCTATAGACTATAGAAGTCCAATTGACCCTGAATAATGTCCTTAATGCCACCATTAGTTATCACCTGGTCTCCAGCTCTCTCTTGCATCCAAGCTCTCGCAGCATCCGTCCTCTGCCAGCATGCAGTTTTCATCACAGGTTTCAGACCAGCATACAGCAGAGAAATGGCTCTGCTGGTGCTGATGCAGCCATCACCTTTTCCGGACCCTAGACAAATATACAAGTCTTTGTGCTGAAACTGCTAGATAACTCTGCAGCCTTCAACAATGTTGATCATCCATTGTTGATGCCACATGTGAGATCTCATGAGATTAAATTGAATAGTACTATGTTGGATCTGCTTATTCATACCAGACAAAACACAGATAGCATAACCTAGTCCTTATCATCCAAGTCCTCTCTGTTCTTCTTCATTGTCTGCATGAGACCATCCTGACAGACTGTGATACACCAGAGACTAAGGGGACTGATATGAGGAGGGCACTTAGCTGTACATCTCTTTTTAAAGCCATCCCCAGTATTTCCCAACACTTGGAAGAAATCAACAGGTGAATGAAAAGCGTTTGTTTCAAGCACAGTCCAGGGAAGATGGAAGTGTTAGTTAAGATGGGGAAGAGTGTGTGAAAAAAACGTAACCCTGACCAACATGGCAAAACCCCCAGAGTAGACAGCTGTGTTGACACAAGAATTTTAGTTCTGCTGTTTCTGAAGTTTTTTTGTTCAATGATAGTGACTTTTAAATCTGTAATAGAATGACCAGGGAGATTGAAGTGTTCACTTACTGGCATATGTATGTTACCATTCCTGATGTCCGATTTGTGTCCATTTATTCTTTTGCGGAGGGACTGTCCAGTTTGGCCAGTGTACATGGCAGAGGGGCATTGCTGGCACATGATGGCATATATAACATTAGTGGATGTGCAGGTGAATGAGCCCTTGATGATGTGGCTGCTGTGGTTGGGTCCGATGATGGTGTCGCCAGAATAGATATGGGGACAGAGTAGGCAACGAGGTTTGCTACAGGGATTGGTTCCTGGGTTGGTTTTTCTGTGGTGTGGTGTGTAGTTGCTGGTGAGTATTTGCTTCAGGTTGGGGGGTTGTCTGTAAGCAAGGACTGGCCTGCCTCCCAAGGTCTGTGAGAGTGAAGGATCATTTTCCAGGATAGGTTGTAGATCGTGGATAATGCGCTGGAGAGGTTTTGGCTGGGGGCTGTATGTGATGGCCAGTGGTGTTCTGTTATTGTCCTTGTTGGGCTGTCCTGTAGTAGGTGATTTCTGGGTACCCGTCTTGCTCTGTCAATCTGTTTCCTCACTTCCCCAGGTGGGTATTGTAGTTTTACGAATGCTTGAAAAAGATCTTGTAGGTGTTTGTCTCTGTCTGAGGGGTTGGAGCAAATTCGGTTGTATCTTAGGGCTCGGCTGTAGACAATGGATTGTGTGATATGTCTCGGATGGAAGCTGGAGGCATGTAGGTACGTATAGCGGTCAGTAGGTTTCCGGTATAGGGTGGTGTTTTTGTGACCATCAGTTATTTGCACTGTAGTGTCCAGGAAGTGGATCTCTTGTGTGGACTGGTCCAGGCTGAGGTTGATGGTGGGGTGGAAATTGTTGAAGTCCCGGTGGAATTCTTCAAGGGCCTCCTTTCCGTGGGTCCATATGATGAAGATGTCATCAATGTAGCGCAAGTAGAGGAGGGGCACTAGGGGACGAGAACTGAGGAAGCGTTGTTCTAAGTCAACCATAAAAATGTTGGCATACTGTGGGGCCATGCGGGCACCCATAGCAGTGCCACTGACTTGAAGGTGTAAGTTGTCCCCAAATCTGAAGTGGTTGTGGGTGAGGACAAAGTCACAAAGCTCAGCCACCAGGCGTGCTGTGGCCTCATCCAAATGCATCCAAATGCAAACAGATGCACATCATACCAAATGGACTGAAGGTAAAAAATCCAT